AGGAAGGAAGGAAGGAAGGAAGGAAGGAAGGAAGGAAGGAAGGAAGGAAGGAAGGAAGGAAGGAAAGCAGGCTGGCTGTATTGCAGCTGATATCCTGCTATAAGACATCCATCATGGAACAGCAATGGTGGTTGCACGCCTTTAGTTCCAAGACCCTGGATGCAGAAGCAGGGGAATCTCTGTAAGTCAAGGCCAGCCTGGTCAGACCCTGTCTCAAAACACCATTAAACAAACAATAACAAACCAACATCTCCTATGACAAGAGAAGGATGATGCTGGGTGTGACTGCATACAGTTGGCAAGAGGTGTATACACCAGGTGCTCTACAGTGACTTCAGCGCACTGCAGTCTGTTCCCCTTCTCTCTGCATTTAATAGATATGAGGTGTGACACAGGCATTGGAATTACAACGTGCAGCAAAGCTGGATGGAGCTCAGCAGGCGAAGCAGGCTCATGGTAAGGTCTCCGAAGCCAGCAGGCCTCTTCATTGTCTCACAGTAGCAGCGGTATTATAACCATTGCTGCCTCTACTGGGTACATTTTTCCTGCTAGCAAACCTCCATGGACAGAAGTGGTCTACAGAAGGCCGCCTGGTGGCCATGATCTCAGAGCACAAGGATGTGTTGGACATGGAGGGAAGGGGTCTTCAGGGTCATCATGTGAATATAATTGTCTAACCAGAAATTCCTAGGGTGCTTACTACAGGCCATCATTCTTGTATTAAAACCGTATTGATTCTGATTGGGTAGCAAGTATTGATTTGCTTTCTTTTTTAGTTTTAGTTGCGTGTGTGTGTGTGTGTGTGTGTGTGTGTGTGTGTGTGTGTGTGTGTGTGTATGCATGTACAGGAGTGCAGGTGCCTATAGAGACAAGAAGAGGGTGGCAGATCCCATGGAGCTGGAGTTACAGGTGGTTCTGATCACCTGTTGTGAGTGCTGGAAACCAAACTCATGTCCGTCCTCTGTAAGAGCAGTGCTTACTCTTAACCATCTCCAACCCCAGTTTGCTGAATTCTTATTCATTATGCCTTCAGCTCTGCTAATGACTCTCTGCTCATTCTTAAAGAAGTGTACCTAAGCCTCTACAGGTGGCTGGCCAGACCTGACCTCTGGGCTCCCATAACCCCTCTACTTAACATCTGCCCTGCTCCTTGTCACATGGCCTCCTGGGTAAACATCTGTTGCTTTTAGTGCTCTGGGAAGTCCCCAAAGGCAGAGACTGGGCTTTTATTTTAAATGTCCTGTGTCCCTAGTGCCAGAGTCAATTTCCCTTTTTTATTGTTTGTTTGTTTT